GAGAAGGAAAGTTGTATGATGATTCGTTTGCACTGTTGCTCTTTCTCTGTATCTATAACATTTCATGAATGAATGTCTGATCTTACCATCACAAGTTATAGTCTCATATGTTGGGTAAACTTGGATCGGAGTTCAGATGCTCAAATCTTAAAGATTCATTACACAAGGGAGATTGGAGATATGATCAAAGTGGGGGAAAATAATATGATGTATTCAGATGCAAGTTAAAAAGTAGGTTTGAAATAACTGGAGGTGCGGGGAATCAAACCCCGTGCATCTCGCATGCGAAGCGAGCGCTCTACCATATGAGCTACACCCCCAAATTGATTAAATATCTATTACTCCATAAATAATTATTATTTTGTTACTAGGAAATCTCCCAAAAGTTTGATGTTGGATCATAGTGGGTGTCTAAATCCACAATCAATTTTTAAATGGTGAAATGCAAAGATGATAAAATAAAGGAAGTCGTAGATTTTCATTGTTAGAATCATCAATCATCTTTTTATAGATGATCAACTGAAGAGATTCCAAAATTTTGTTAATGAAAAGGATCATGTGTTTAGCTCGTGACAAGGTAGAGGTTAGAAGAATGTAAGAATATGTATACAAAATTACAAGTGTCTAGCCCATTACAATGGAAGCCCTTATTTTTTTTTGGTCGAATTCGATTAGGTGAAATCAGACGCCAACAATCTTATCATAATATAAGCCATAATCTACTATTTCTTTTGTTTCAAAAAATAAGTTGTTTTGGAAGATTTTTTCTGTTTCAAAATATAAATTGTTTTGATAATCCTAAGTACTTTTTAACTTTATTGACATTGTGTGACCAACAGTATTTTGCAGTTTTTTTTTATTGGTTAAGTTATTTTTGTTATATATATAAAATGATACTTTTTAGAAGAAAAGTAGTTTCTTAATATTCGCACTTTTAGCCAAAACAACTTACATATTGAAACGGAGGAAGTGTACATATAAAAGAAAAGAGAACACTCTCTATCTTCCTGACACGTAGCACTCTTACAAAAAGGTCACGTGTCCCTTACAAGGTTGACGATTCAAGTTCGGCAACTTTGTCTCTTTTCTACCTCTTCATCTTCAACTTCCGTTGTTAGGGTTCAATAATTCGTTTCTACCTTAAGACTATTCTCCACGATCAACCATTATTTCCACATCTCGACATTAGTACTCTAATTGCAGTTAGAGAAGCTGTTCGCAAAAGAAAACGATGAGACCAACACCGAAAGACTTAGAAGTCATCTCCTTGTGACGAAATATGATCTTACTCTTCCCCGAGCAGCAAAGAAAGTTACCAGCCTTCGTCCCCTCTTCCGTCCAGCTCAAACTACAATGGTATCAGATCAATTGTACAGCTTGATTCATTAATGAGAAATATCTCTTTCATAACAAACTTTCTCTCTCGTTTGTTCTTCATTTCTCATCGC